TCTTTGTAGATTCTGGTTATTAGCCGTTTATTGGATATATAGCTTGCAGGTATTTTCTCCCATTCTCCTATCTATTTGCTCTGCTGAGTATTTCCTTAGCTGTGCAGAGGTTTTTAATTTAATCAAGTCCCATTTATTTATTTTTGTTGTTGCTGTAATTGCCTTTGGGGTCTTAGTCATAAATTCTTTGCCTAGGCTGATATCTAAAAGAATTTTTCCAGCATTTTCTTCTGGAACTCTTATAGTTTCATGTCTTGCATTTACCTCTTTTATCCATCTTGAATTACTTTTTGTGAGTGGTGAGAGATATGGATCCTTTTTCATTCTTCTGCATGTGGCTATCCAATTTTCCCAACACCATTTATTGAATAGGGTATCTTTTCTATGGTGTATATTGTTGTCTGTTTTGTCAAAGATCAGTTGACTGTATGTGGATGGTTTTATATCTGCATTCTCTGCTGTGTTCCGTTGGTCTATGTCTCTTTTTGTGCCAATATCATGCTGTTTGGGTTACTATAGTCTTGTAGTATAGTTTGAACTCTGGTAATGTGATGCCTCCTGACTTGTTCCTTTTGCTTAAGATTGTTTTGGGTATTTGGGCTCTTTTCTGGTTCCAAACTAAGCCTAGCATTATTTTTTCTAGATCTGTGAAATATGATGTTGATATTTTGATGGGGATTGCATTGAATCTGTAAATCACTTTGGGTAGTATGGACATTTTAACCATGTTGATTCTACCAATCCATGATCATGGTATGTTTTTCCATTTGTTTGTGTGTCTGCAATTTCTTTGCTCAGTGTTTCGTAGTTCTCTTTGTAGAGATCTTTTACCTCCTAGGTTAAGTATATTCCTAGGTATTTTATTTTCTTTGTAGCTATTGTGAATGGTATGGAGTCTTTGATTTGACTCTCAGCTTGACTGTTATTGGTGTATAGAAATGCTACTGATTTGTGTACATTGATTTTGTAAGCTGAAACTTTGCTGAATTTATTTATCAATTCCAGGAGTCTCTTGGTAGAGTGTTTGGGGTTTTCTAGATACAGGATCATATAATCAGCAAAAAGCAATAGTTTGACTTCCTCTTTCCTGATTTGGATACCCTTTATTTCTTTCTCTTGCCTGATTGCTCTGGCTAGGACTTCCAGCACTATGTTGACTAGAAGTGGTGACAGTGGGCACCCTTGTCTTGTGCCAGTTCTTAGTGGGAGTGCTTTCAACTTGTCCCCATTTGGTATGATGTTGGCTGTGAGTTTGTCATATATGGCTTTTATAATCTTGAGATATATTCTGTCTATGCCTAGTTTGTTGAGGGTTTTTATCATGAAAGGGTGCTGATTTTTAGCCCTGATTTATCTTTGTTAATGAAATATCTTCTGCCTATTTTTAACTTGGGTTGTTTTTCTTTTACTTATTGTATTATTAGAGTTCTGTATATATTATGGATATAAGGCTATTGTCAGATATATGTATTGATAATATTTTCCTCTGTAATATGGTTTGCCTTTTCATATTATTTTTACAGTCTTTAGAATAACAGTTTTTAATTTTAATATGTCCAGTTTATTCATTTTTTTCATCTATGGTTAGTGCTTTTTGTATCCCACCTAAGAAATCTTTGCCTATCTTTACATGGTTACAATATTCTCCTATACCTTCTTATTGAGTATTTATAGTTTTAGCTTTTGTGATAGGTTTGTGATACATTTCTAGTTAATGTTTGAGGTAGTTAAGGGTAGAGGTTCATTTTTTTTAAAAATGCAGCCATCTCATTATTCCACAACTATATGGCTAAAAGGCTGTCCTTTCTCTTTGGAACTTTTGTTAAAAATCATTTGATCAATTGTGTATGATGCAATGAACCAAATATTTGTATCCTACCTTCTTCCTCATTTCTATGTTGAAATCCTAACTCCCAATGTGATGGTATTAGGAAGTGGGGTTTTTGGGAGGTCATTAGGTCATGAGAATGGAATCCTCCCCCTCGTGAATGAGAGCGGAGCCCTCACGAATGAGATTAGTGCCTTTATATAAGGGGACCCCAGAAAACTCTCTCGCTACATGAGGATACAATGAGAAGACAGACATCTGGAAACCCTGAAGAGGGGCCTCACCAGAACCCTACTATGCTGGCACCCTGATCTTAGACTTCTACTCTCTAGAACTGTAAGAAATAAATTTGTGTTATTTATAAGCCACCCAGTCTATGATACTTTGTTATAGCAACCTGAACTAAGACATGTGGATCTGATTCTGAACTGTATTCTCTTCCATTGATCTATACTTCTGTCCTATGTCAATATCAGTTTTGATTACTATAACTTTCTAGTAAGTGTGGAAGTTCGGTAGTTTAACTTTGAACTTTGTTTTTCTTTTTTGAAGTGGTTTTGGCTGTCTAGGTCCTTTGTATTTCCATATGAATTTTAAAATCAGCTTGCCAGTTTCTATTAATACCAAAAAAACCAGCAGGAATTTTGTTTGGGTTTGAATTGTATCTTTAGATAAATCTGAGGCAAGGGATGTAATCTTGAGTGGGAAAGAAGCCCCCTGACCACATACTCTGCATTAAGTCCTTCCCTGAAGGAGGATCAGGGTAGAGCATCTCTATGTCTACTTCAGTTATGGTGGTTGATAGTGTTCAGATTTTCTATATCCTTACTGAATTTTTTTTGTCTATTCTACTTATTACTGAGAAAGATAGGTTAAAAATATCTAATTATGACTAGATTTATCTGTTTATCTCTCTTTTTTCTTTTTTTTTTTTGAGACAGAGTCTCACTCTGTTGCCCGGGCTAGAGTGCGGTGGCATCAGGCTAGCTCACAGCAACCTCAAACTCCTGGGCTCAAGCAATCCTGCCTCAGCCTCTCAAGTAGCTGGGACTACAGGCATGTGCCACCATGCCCGGCTAATTTTTTCTGTATATATTTTTAGTTGTCCAGCTAATTTCTTTCTATTTTTTTAGTAGAGATGGGGTCTCACTCTTGCTCAGGCTGGTCTCGAACTCCTGAGCTCAAACGATCTGCCCACCTCAGCCTCCCAGAGTGCTAGGATTACAGGCATGAACCACCACGTCCGGCCATGTTTTTGTCTTTAGTTAGCTTTTGCTTTGTGTATTTTAAAGCTATGTTATTAGGCACATATATATTTGTAATGTTTATATCTTCCTGATGTATATTGAGATTGACTCTTTTATCATTATGAAATGTCCTTCTTTGATGCTAGAAATAATTCTTATGTAATCTATTTTGCCTGATATTAACATGGCCCCCTCCAATTTTCTTATAGTTGTTTTTCATTGTATATCTTTTCCCATCCTTTTATTTTTTAACCTATTTGTGTCTTCATATTTCAAGTGTCAAGTGTGTCTGTTGGAGTAATTCTGAAATATTTGAGGGAAAATATAGGGACTTCGTGACTATTATCATTGGAGGAAGCTGGGTAAAGGGTACATGAGAACTTCTGTAGTATTTTTCAACTTCTATGTGAGTCTAAAATTATTTTGCATGTTTATAATGTTGCTGGGTTGTTTTTTTTTTTTTTTT